CCGCCGCCCAGCTGGGGGGAAAGGCCGGCCGGCGCTTGGGAAGGAGAGTGGAGGAGGTCCCCGCACTCCTTCCCGAGAGCCCGCCGCCCAGGTGGGGGGAAAGGCCGGCCGGCGCTTGGGAAGGAGAGTGGAGGAGGTCCCCCCACTCCTTCCCGAGAGCCTGCCGCCCAGCTGATAAGCGGTTCCAAAATGGCCGCCCGTTTTGCGCCTCGCTTACCAAGGCAGTGAAAATGGCCGCCCCTATGGAGGATCTTCGCTGAACGGTGAGTTTTTGCCCCATAGGAACAAATTAAACAGGGTTTAATTCATTCCTATGGGTTTTTTGTTCCGTTCAGCGATGTTTCCGTATAGCGATGTTAATCCTGGAACGGATTAACGTCGCTATGTGGGCCACCACTGTATGTTCTATGTGTTAGGATGATTAGGTTTGAATACCGAGGTTTACAGTGAAAATATGTGGGTGTGCAGGAGAAAGCTACACAGGGAAGAATGTTAAATGAAGAAATGGGGGGGACAGAAAGAGTAAGAGTGATATGGCAGCGATTCATTCCATTCTTATGTCCATGTTTCCAGACAGGCTCCATACATGAGCAAGAACCCCCAAAATTGAATTCTAGAACCCATCCTCTTTAGACATGATGTTCCATCATTCTCAAAGGTGGAAAACAGGTCCAGGTGCTCCCTTGGTATGCATAATGGAGAAAGCCACCATAAGTAAAGCCTACAGTATAACTCTCATATGTGTCATCTTGGACTTCTTGAAGGAAAAGCAGAATATTGCAGGACTATGGCATCTGCAAGGGATCAGTTCCAAGCACACACTCCCATGGATGCTCAAAAGCACAGAATCACTGAATGCTATAAATCAGAGGTCCCCAAACTCCGGTCTGTGACCCGGCAGCAGTCCGTGAACTATCCAGGACTGGGCCGCAGACACAGATCTCCTACCCCACCCCCGCGACCGCCGTGTGCATGTGCGCGAGTGCCCCCTGTAAGTGCGTTGTGCACATGCATGCGAGTGAGCTCCACCCGCCTGCAGGCGTGCCACACACCCTCAACCGGTCCGCAGTTGGGAAAAGGTTGGGGACCACAGCATAAATAACACTGTCTATTGCTCCCTCTAATGGCTAGCTATGGTAAATACACCATGGAAAGAAAAATTCAGTGGTGCCCCGCATAGCGACGTTAATCCATTCCAGGATTAACGTTGCTATCCGGATTCGTCGCTATGCGGGGGGGAAAACCCCATAGGAACGCATTAGGGAAAAACTCACCGCTATGCGGGGAATCCTCCATCCGGCCGCCATTTTCGCTGCCCGGTAAGCGAGGGCAGGGCACGAAAACGCTGTGGGAGGCCATTTTGTTGACCCGGCGGTCATTTTGGAACCGCCGATTAGCTGTTCCCAAAACATCGCAATGCGAAGATCGGTAAGCGAAATGCTTACCAATCATTGCAATGCGATGTTTTGCGTATTAAAACATTGCATTAGCGATCGCAAAAAACGCATCGCTATGCGGATTCGCCGTTAAACGGTGCGCTCGTTAAGCAAGGCACCACTGTATTGTGTTTTTAAATTTAATATTCTTAGGTACCTATAAGTGAATTGACGGATGCTGATCCAGGTAATGTGCGATTCTACTGTATTTGTATGTGATATTTCTCCACTTACATCATTTCACAAGCCTATTTATAATTCTACCATCTCCAAATAAAAAGAGAGCAATCAACACTGGAACTGTAAGCACAACAAGACAGTAAGAAACTGAGCTTAAAGTTTTGAAGAAAATGGCCTGGTGCCAATGCTAGCATAACTTAATTTTTTTAGGATCAACGATTTGGGGTCTGCTAACACTGGATTCCCAGTGTAGTGTAATGGATAGACTAGGACTCTAGAGAACAAGGTTTGAATCCCCACCTGGCCATGAAAATCCATGGGGGGAATGGAACTGATAAAAACCACTCCTTCAATATCTCACTTACCTTGAAAGCCCTATTAGGGTCACTGTAAGTTGGTTCCAACTTGACAGCACTGAACACATACACACCTAGCTTTGTGATATGATAAAATAGCTTACCTTGACATTTTTGTCTTTTTCAAACTGCTCCTCAAACTGCCTTATTTTCTTCTGCAATTTTTTGACTAGCTGGTAAGGAGTCTTCTCGTCCCTTCTTTCATCCTTAGAGCTATTAAAAGATGCTCTCCGAGTTCTGCATTTTAAAAAAGGTGGGAAAACTTTAGATATTGCAGATATTGTAAAATGCACAAAATAAAGAATAGCAAGCAGGTGTACATTTATAATTCCATTAAAAAGCCTATGGAGCACACAGTACAAAAATGGTCTAATTAATTACCTTCTCCACACACAATACCATCACCAAGCCTCACTATAAAGTTGTAGTTTGCTCAGAACATAGCAGGTGATAAAAGCTCCCAGTCAAGTGCTTCAGTCACTGATATCAGCGATCCCTTCCTTTTGCCACCAGAAGACTGATGTCTTCCACACTAGAGCATTTAGAAAACTGTTAAACCATTTCAAATTGTTCTCTACAGGAAAAAGCACAGCTGTTTCCCACCATGCCAATGTCATTATTACAAATATCCAATACAGTGATAAATACAACCAAACTGTGAAGGCTAATTTCTATTCCTACATCCATAATGGTGGTTTAGTTCATTTCAGATAAAAATAAACAACTGAGTGTCAAGACTAATAGCTTAAATAATATGACTATACAAGTTTCTAGCCCTCTTGTTTGAACATAGAAAAGCCTCCCAAAAAAAGGGAAACCAAACCAAATATGGGCAGAATGTTCCTGACACCATGTCATAGATCGCCTGTGCTTTTTCCCTTCTGTATGCTTGTAATCACATAATCTTCAACAAACTGTCCTCCCCCACCCCAATTTTAATTGAAATACAGGATTACTTTCAGGGCTAAAGCACAGAAAGGCTAAGATTTGGAATTGAAAGCAGACACTGGCTGAAATCCAGTTGCTTAACATAGTAAGTTGCAACTAGAGTAGGCATACTGAATCAGTGGGGATCTGGTGAGTCAGCTCCTCTATAAGTTCCTTTGATTCAGCAGATGTGACTTACTATGATTAAACCCATTTTGCAGACGCTTGAAACAAGAGGCCAGCACTGGCTCACAACAGGGCTGAAGCTCTGATTGACTATGTCTGCCATACATGGTTCTTCTATTTAAAAAAACTTGAAACAATCTTAAAATGACAACTGTTCAACTTCTTTTTTAAATAATAAACTACGAAGATTCTTGAATATCAAGATAAACAAATTTTAAATGGTCCGAACTCAGTACAAATAAAGTTTTCTCTTCTTAAATGCTAGGGCTCTTTATCCTCTGCAAGCAGGCCCAACTTATCTCCAGGATTTCTCTTTCTACCCCCGTACTTCAAATTTTGTTTCTATTTACTACAGGGGGAAGCATATTTGAAGTCAGAATTACAGTACACAAGAATGGCCAGGTACCTCCAGCTCTAGTTATATCAAAATCAGGCTTGGCTTTTCCAAAGGCTGAAAAATAAGTACCATCCTATTTTTCTGCAAAGACAAACACTGTTCCTAAGCAACTGAAGTACAGTGGTGCCTCGCATAGCGATCGTTCCGTTTTACGACGAAATCGCTTTGCGATGGACTTTTTGCCATCGCAAAAGCGATCCCGTTGCGGTGGCCCCTATGGGGAAAATTCGCTTTGCGATGATCGCGGGGAAGCGCTTCCCCGTGATCATCCCAAAGGCCCCGCCAATCAGCTGTGCAAAAATGGGGCCTTTGGGATGACTGCGGGGGAGCGTTTCCCCACGATCATTGCAAAGGCCCCGCCAATCAGCTGTACTGCGAGGGGTGGAGAGAGAGAGCTGAAGCACAGCTGATCGGCGGCGATTTGCAATGATTGCGGATAAGCCATCATCGCAAACCTCCACCGATCAGCTGTGCTTCGGCTCTTTCTCTCTCTCTCTCTCCCCTCGCAGCTCCAGCCTCGGCAGGGAGACTGAGGTGACGACGCCATCCTGGCCGAGAAAGACCCTCTGCAGGCGCAGAGGGTCTTTCTCGGCCATGGTGGTGGCGGCGGTGCCTCAGTCTCCCTGGTGAGGCTGTCAGTCTCCCTGCCGAGGCTGGAGCTGCGAGGGGTGGAGAGAGGGAGAGAGCCGAAGCACAGCTGATTGGCGGGGCTTGTGATGATGGCTTCCCCGCGATCATCGCAAACCTCCGCCGATCAACTGTGCTTCATCTCTCTCTCTCTCTCCACCCCCCGCAGCACAGCTGATTCGGCGGGG